TATATATAAAAATGAATCGCAAAATGTGTTGGTAAGCGCATAGCTCAACAACGCGTGAACCAATTTGGCCAATTATTTTTTTAAAATGTTCATTGAAGTCCAAGGATGGTTCTTACGACGAGAAAAAATAGAATAATTGCCGGAAAACCCTAAAAACAGCCCTTTTCTTTTTCTCATACAAACGTTTTCTACCTAAAACGTAGAATCAATTTGAGCTTTGTTGCTATTATATAAAGTTCATATAAAATTACAAGCGCACCCACTGTATTTTCCTTTTGAACTATTATGCGGATTTTGATAAATCTTTCTGAAGTTTGTTGGAAATTTTCTAGGATGTATATGATTATAAAGTACTGGAATGTATGTGCAATAATTGTAGAAATAAATGGAAAAAATTGCAAAAAAAAACGACATGTCATATTATAAGAGTATATACATTTTGGAGTGAAGAGTAATTTAAAAAAACAATAATTATTATTTTCAGGTAAACGGTGAATATTAGTATATATATTAAAAAATTGTAGACATGGTTACAGACAACGTCTGTCAGGTCATCTAGTAACTCATAAAATCTATGAGTTTAAAATTAAATAAGGAACCATATCGATTTCAGATATGCACGTACCATATTTCTGTGGCTTCCAGAAATAGTCTGGAGCGGTTTGAAATTATTTTCGACGTCTCTGATGCGTTTACTCGCACAAACGCTCTCTGTATAATATATAAGGGCTATATATAACGCAAATGTCTATGAGATCGTTGTAACATACGCAGTAATGTTCTAAGAACCTTTCCGTACTTCACAAAATCCAATGGGTTTCAACCCATTTTGTAATACACGTGCACTATAAGGTGGGATCGGCAATAAATTCCAGAAATTGTATGGGTACTTGACAAATATTAATTGCTTGGTGTATAAAACGAATTTTTATCATACCAATTATATTAGTCGTGATTTAATAATACTTTCAATACTATACTATGGAGTTATATTACCAACTCCAGTAGTATTCAATAGAAATCAGGTCTTAATTTTTAAGTTACCCCGATTTCAGAGATTGTGTCGTTTATGAAATTGGAGTTCTCATTATATTCACAGTCACGATCGTAAATCCTATCATTTGATACTGAGAAAGACATCATAATATCGGATAAAGCTTTCCAAAATATTGTCTAGTGTTATGTAATACTGAGAAAAGCGAAAAGCGTCTATTTTTAGAATAACCGTTATGATATGTTTAAAAGCTTCAAGTGTCAAGTTATATATCTAAAATTATATTTCGTTACTATGGATCGTAAGTTGAATTGTACAACTTGTACAATACACGTGATTAAAATTTTAAATAAATATATGGTTGTGTAAGTGCCTTATTTTTTTAATTATTTTTACTGCATCCTATACAATTAAGATGAATTTACAATAGTCGGTAAATAATTGAACAAAGTCGGAAAGAATTTATTTATAACTTCTTCGATATCGGAATGTATAGCAAGAGCTAATGTCAGTACGGTAGATTTGTTCGATGAATGGTATGGGTCCTCTGGTCCATTGTCCACGGGTGAATAGTGGGTCCGCGCCCTCTCCTGCGCTATCTTAGAGCTTTATCTACGTCAACTGAGTAAACGAGGGGTGGAATAGGGCGAAATAAGTCGGTAGGTTTGAGGATTGACCCCACTACAAGCATCTATTCTAGAAATGGGTATTCTTATACTGCAAACAATTCTGCTGCGCACTCTCCGTCAGAAAAAAGAATAGCGTGAAACGGAGTTGGCCGTTGCTGGCATTACACAAGTACATATAATGTTCACTCATACCCCCAGAAATATTATATTCCAGTGGGGATGTGCATAGATATTTTTGTGGGCATGTATGTAGATTCTTATATCATCTTACATGTCATAAGTACGTAAAGAATCGTAGGCGCCACTAAGCTCATAAAACGGGGACTATGTGTGACATGCAACGAAAAGACATGAACTTCCTGCTTACCCTCCAAAAACATTTGGGAAAATATGTCTATAAAGACATTTTATTCGATATAGTTTTCATACTTAATCTCTCTACTTGCTTACATAGATCAATGTAGTTTCTTAATTTTATTTTACATGAATAACACTTAAATTAATAGTTATTACTATAATGATTGCATTATGATAAACTTACCGAAATTATCCACCAGAATCCATGTATCCTTGTAAACCATAAAATTGAAGGTTAACATTCCTTCTGCAAAGTAATAACAGTTTTTAAATATAAAGTTTTAAATAAACAAAGCAAATTTAAAGCGTAAAATTATACGAAACTTATTTAAGACTGTTTCTTGCAATATCCTTAACAATAAATCCGTAAATTTAGATAATAAAAAATGGTACAGTGAACAATGCTGCATGATTTGTAATGCAATCAACAAACAAATTTTATATACATGACAGTACTAAGCAAATTCTTAAAATATTATCTATCAAACTCACCTTGTAGTCCCAGCAACGCTCCAGGAAAAGATCCGGAACCACCCCGAGCAGCATCTCCTAATAAGGCAGCACCATTGGATTGTAACCTCGACTCATAATCTCTTCGTCCCGATCATCTCTTGCCATATCATTGGGTTCTTCAGTATCGCTGCTGTTACTGTCCTCACCTGTGCTTCCTTGATGTTGAAGAGAAGATTCCGATCGTGCCGATTTATTCTGGTGACAGAGAAACTATTTTAGAAGACGTTTGAGGATGAGGAATAATTGATTCAAGTCAGACGTTCCTATTTTAGACTTTAGAATTTCAGATTTCAAAAAAAAATCTGAACAAAATGTTTTTTGATTCTTACAACCTATTATCCTAAGCTACCTGATTATTTACATGCAACGTCGGTCCGCCTTCCAGCACCTGTCCTAATAAGCTTTCGCGCATATCCAATCCATTTTCCACCAGCCTTCGGACTACTCTATCAGGACTAAGACAGCAGGCTCTCATTTGGGCACGGTACAGATCCGAACTTCTTGCTCTTTTGCCAGGTGGAGGAGTTCCTAAAGACCTGCTTTGGTGAACTCTTTGCGAGCTGGTAGATGATGCTGAAGTTGGCGGGGGAGGCCTTTGTGGTTTATTGGCGGATAATGATGATTCGGTCCCTGTCATCTCTAGATTCATTTCTTTCTGGCCTTTCTTCTTTTTTCAATTCCCATGGCATTGGAGCACTTGCGGATTGCTGAGAAAAAAATCGAAAACTTTTTATATTTTTGCCGCATGCAATTTAAAACACATACGTATGGCACAATAGAAAATATGTAGTATGGTTTTCTGTATGTAAGTTCACCATTTGGCAAGCAAGAACGTCGTCATAGGATTAACTTTCGGTAGCAATATAATAAATGAATGTGAAGCACGACACGTTTGTAACATTTCGCCGGATTATCGCTCATCACATTTGCATAAACGAAAAAATAGACTATATTAAATCTCAGAGAGATTTTTGCATCGGCCTTCTCAATGGCGTTCAAGCATGAATGCCATCATCGCGTCCATATCTTTTTATGATCGTCTGCAATATTTTAGCAAGAATTAATATTCGGTACCTACTTCTTTCCGAAAAAAATCAATACAATTATAAATAATAATATAAAATGTTTGATTAAAATCAAATAAAAAATTAGTCACTTATAAATATTAGTTTGAAATACTACGAAAATATACTAATGGTTCGTATGTAATTTATTAGAAACAAATTTGAATAATATATAATTCAATACTTTATAATAAAGTAATCAATAACTATATCTACTATAATCATCTAACTTCTTTCCGATGTATATTTTGATCAATAAGATATATAGATTGCAAAATTCTCTAGAATGTGCTTGCACTGTCTCTGAGTATAGTCCTCTGAGTATATAGACGTTATTTGGTAAAAGAATATCGTTCATAATCTTATTTCCGACTTCTTTCATTAATAAATATATAATTTTATTTACCGGTGACGTCTTTAATTCAGTTATTCGCGTGATGGGCAAAGATGTTCCACCCATGGTGGGCACCATGTTGGCTAAACTGCCGGGCATGCCAGCAGAGGGCACGTCCGCCAGACCCCGGACTTGTAGAAGTTGTGCGGTTTTGAGGAAATCGGGTAGTTGTTCATGGCCGATGTGCACTTCACCGTGATACATGAACCTGGAAATAATAAATGTACTATTTAATATTTTATTTAACATTTATACGAATTGATTTTACCAAGACATTCGAATTTTATGTTTAAAAAAATAATTACAGAAAATGAAGACAAATCATCTAAGCATGTTAAATGTACACTTATATAATAAAAATATTTTAATTACCTGCCTAATGCATTAGGAAGCAAATAATGTAATCGATGAAAGATTTTGATGAATTTTAATTCAAATGAAAACTATTACTGATTATTATATGTCTGAGTATCTAATCAATTTTAGCATAATATAATGAATAACAAAAGTTTTAATATCAAGTTTCATAAAAAAAAATCATTCTGATTAAAATTTGTTGGTTTGATTTTTCAATTGTAGCATTAATTAAATAACATTTTTTCCATTAAGTTTCCTTCATCGATGTGAAAAGATTTATTAATTGAACTAACTAGAATTCTCTTATATTTAAAGGAAAAATCTAATAATAACGAGCTGCTGTAGGTCCGCTTTGCCATCATCGATTGTTCATTACCGAATCGACCTTTGTTCTTTTTTTATTATTCACTTGATTATTCTAATTACTCTTGTAATGAATGAATTAAAAGCAGATGCAAGTACAATTAATTAAATTAAAATGGCGTATTAATTCTAGAATTTTTAATTAAAATCACAGAAGCAGCGATGTTTTCGTCCGAACTAATTTATAAATTAATATGTCTAATTGGAATAAAAATTGAAGCGCTGGCGGATGGCGTGCACGTCGATCGTTAAATGAATGAAATTTTATGGTTGCAACATTATAAATTAAAATTGATTGTGTACAGAATTCTAATGGAAAATCTTTGGAAGACGAATAGTGTATAAATAATAATAATACAATGAATTGCATTCTCATAAAAAATATGAATTGTAAATAAATTGAATGGAATGGGATTAAATTTTTCAAACAAGCGTTCAAGAAAATTTTATGAGTCATTATTTGAAAATAAATTTAAATAATAATATATGAATTATTAAACCAAATATATCAAAAAAAGGATTTATTGTATTAATTATGTCTACAGTACATCTGATAGATCTATTTTTCTCGAAGTTCTATCTTGTTCGTCTCTATTTCTTGGGCTGCTAAATTATTACACATGAAACTAAGATGTCATTAGCTATTTATTTCTGAATTCAATATAATTCGCATTAAAACCCGATCTATTTCCGTATCCACCAGAATGTCGTCATTAAAACTATAAACAGCTTTGTACGTGAACTAAATACAATACTCACACAACAATATTGTCGTTTTACTTGATATTATATTTATAATCGGATTTGAAATGATATTAACTCTCTTGGTGACTCTGCTCGCGATTATTTTGGAATAGGCGATGCGTGGCATTGAAATATGTATGCGGAGTTTTCGGTTTATTCGTAATTGCGTTTGAATCATTCTACTAAAATTGTTATTATTGGCATTATAGACGGAAATAACAATCGCCAAGCAACAAGACTAATAAGTAAAGCCACAGATTGAATAAATACGAAAGATCGTATAAGGATTAAGTAGGTAAATTCGCTTTTAACCATTCGTTAGAAGCAGCAAACAAATGAATCGCATAAAGTAAATAGTAAAAAACTCTCTTTGTTTCTTGTTAAGTAAGCAGCTAAAAAGAAAGCTCAAAACTAAATTAAATGTTCATATAAAACAACACATCTACTATTTAACAACAAAAAAACAATGGATGAATACACTGAGACTACCCAAGGTTCAATTCTCCAGGATGATTCCAATAAGATTCGTATCCACTACTACTACGACTCTACAGGTGTTGTCTATGAATATTTAACAAAAACCGAGTCAACGCAGACGGAAGGCATGACAATAACGGACGCATTTTGATTTCTAATAAGTCAAATGGAGGTGAATTAAATAAACAAAAATAAACATGACATGCAATTCAAAACAACTTAGCCACTGAATGCTAATGGCATATTTGCTCAGACAGATGATAAACCAGAATGAGTTTAAAGAACTGCGAGGTATCGCATTTTCTAGGACAAATAGTAATGGACATTTAATTTATTAAAAGGGTATGGAATGTAATCATGTTAAAGGTGTGTATGGGCTGGCTTTAGATCTAAGGCTTCTTTAAAAATTATATACGTATGGTAACTCAAATTGATAAAAAAGCAAATATTCAATATTGTATTTCTATCCACTTTTGATGATATATACTACATACCACTATATTTTAAAGAAAGTTATTATCCATTATTAAGGAAATTTTTTACTCAAAAGATATTCAGGTATTCTCAAAAGAAGAACAAGTCATATAGGATGTGAGGACAGGAATAGAGTGATTCTGTGCACATTTAAGATTTAAGGATATAGCGTTCCTTGAAACCATTTCTAATCATTATTCAATGATTAAATATCGGTAAAATCGGTAAATATCTTCTATATAGCTTTCAATAGAAATCGTTAATATATTTAATGATATATTATTCTTCTGATGTAGCAAAATTTATTTTGTTCTAATTCTTTATAAGTTATTGATTTTTGGCAGCCAACAAAGATGCGTTTTCTACCCTCTATCAATGTGCTGAAATTAGAAATAATTCAGTTTTTCCTATCGCTGTATCCAAATAATGTTGTACAAATTATTCACAACATACCAGACGGATTTAATTAGAATTAAACAATGACTATTGCGAATGTCGATGAAAAAAAAGGTAGCAGATCGTGAACGGATTAATATATTCTCGCCTATGTGTGGCATGTCCTCTATTGTCTGCCGGCGACGAGGACTATTGTTCGGCTCCAGTTTCTTCGTGACTGACAGAGTAAATCGTTCTTTGTATGGTAATAAAACGTTGTAGGTGTTCCTGGAGGTAAGATCTTCTTCAAAAATCGCGGGAAAAATATGACTAAAACACTCATTATTTGCTGATATATAATTATTAGCGTTTAGTGCCATAAAATGCAATTTATTAACTTCAAAATTTCTCGTTGTATTCAATGCTTTAAAATTGCAATTGCATATATAATTGAGAATGTATTTGATTATAGTTGGGAACTAGATGACAAATTATATTTTTAATTTTTTTTGTTATTTCAAAATTAAACGTTGTGCAGACGACTGTTAAACATATATATTCCCAATGGTATGTGCTTGATTTCATTTTTTGATTTTTTATCAGTTTTACTATATTTACTTATTCCAAAATTTTTATCATTTTATTACATTTATAAATTCATTTTTGTCAATGTTTATATTTTAGAAATCATTCTCAAATAAAAGCAATGTTTATTCTAAATACATGCAACAATACAAATTTGCAACCAGCATAATTTAAACAAAATAATCAAAACGATATTTGCAAGTACGATAAGGAAGGAATTTAAATGCAAAGTATCTCGTCCAAAATAAATTTAAATTCAAGGGTAATGCAAGTAATAGAGTGCGAAAAAATTAACGCAATTTATGCGCATAGTATTAATCTTATACAGAACGACGACTTTGTAAGCACAAATTTCATATAACAAAATACACAGAATATTTCCATGAAAATGCCGATTAAAATTTTAATTTAGTTTTCAAATTAAAAATGAAATATATCATATGAATTGTATAAAAGGTATTTCTCAAATAGAAGCAAGTATTGATTCACAAAATAACTATTTGTCTCATGTGGTTTTGTTATCTGATAACATATAAATGGCAACTATAATTTCAGAATTTAATATAGTCATAAGTCTATCCTCTTACCTGAGCAGGCTTTCCATATCCTCCCCCCGGACATCCCTCAATATCACTATCGGATGTTCGCAAGGGTTGGCCTTCAGCAACCTCCTGAAGTAGGGACTGCACGCGCTCAGCACCACTTTGTGGGCAGTAAACGAGCACCCTTCGCAAGCCAACGTCACATCAACGAAGTCTTCTTCGTCTCTCAGTCTTCGGAAAGATGACAGAATCGAACTGTGAAAATCGTTCCATCTTAAGGAGTATTGTTGTTCCGAGGGGGTCGGGGACCCCGAGGTTCCCGAACCGTTTGCCGGCGGCTCCAGCATCGCCCCGAGCGGCCGCACTTTTATACGATCCGTTTTCGCGTTTTCGTCCAACTTGGCCGTTTTTCGCGGATTTTTGATAAACTATTTATATGAGATCTATGTCCTTGTGGTATTAACTGTTTGATTGTTGTCATTAAAAGATTCAAATTTTGTCCGCGTGTGTATTCTCATGTTATTGATACTTTTCTCGATTAGTGTTTGGAGGTAGAAGATCTAGATTGCATAGCACTATTTATTATAAATATAAAGTATAATTATGAATTAACAAACTTTAATGTCGTATATTTTGCTATATCACAGCTTATAGATATACTTGTCTATAAGACTTTATTCACATTTGGTAGTATAGATTGACTTCAACGTATACTTAGGGTTTCATTTAGTTAAAAAGTTGGTTTGGAAGCTAGCTTTGCAGTGTACTTTCTTTCAAATGGACCTGAAAAAAATGAACAAATATTAGAACAATGATAACAAAATCTATTCAAAAACTTCAAAATAAAAAAATTGTTGTACAAGTTTTTGGACATGTAAAATTATAACTACACAAAGTTGAAAGTGAGACAACGATTAACCTCATAAAAGATAGAGAGCAAAAAATATTTAAATGTTAATTACTTTTAATGTTGCAATTGCTTCGGCAAATATGCAAAGCGACATTCTAACAATTGTTAATTAGTTAATAAAACAAGATTTAATTGCCAAGGTGTTTCTGATTTAAGATAAACATATTTTGTTAAATGCATAACTAGAAAGTTTCATGTAAAAAATAGTACGTAGAATAATGTTCATTTTATCTGATAATGCATGTTCATGCATTTAGGAGTTAAATTTAACTACATGAATATGTAATGAAGTATGTTTATAAAATGGTCAGTTCAAATGCAATAAAATGAGTCGTTTTGATTAATCAAAATAATTTTATATGTGAAACTTTCGTAACTCCAAAAAGACAACTCATAATGAAACGCGGCAAGTGTATACGAATGTCGAATAATAAACTAATAACCTGTTTCACATAACAAGCCGTTCAATAAATTATACGCGTGCGTTTAAGTGAACGGTTATTATTTTTGGGAATTTTTCTTGTTGGCCCGGAAATGCCGGAGCGGAGATTCGTCTAGTGCGCGCCCGGATGTATCATGATGCATATAGTACTTGGAAAAGCAAGGGTATTTTTTTTTCTTCTCTATCCATTTTATAAATTTTAATAATTTGATTCGGAAATTTCTCTATCTATTACGCATATTATATTGCATTTTCATTCAAATTTCAAATGAGAAAAAATGGATAGAATAATTATCTCGAAGAAAGAAAAATAACAGTACATGTGCACATTGCACTTAACTTAATCAGATTTACATTTTTAGTCATGCCTAATTATTTACTAATTACCTAAATATTACTCTTAAAGAAATGTGCTCGCGGACCATTTAATGATGATCAATTAATACTAAACAAACTTCAATCGATAATCAACATAGATTTTCCAATGATCTTATTATTTAAGAAAAATAACTAGTCGTTTTAGTCATAAGTGCATCTTTGTCAATTATGAGATTCATCACGTTTCTTATTTCATATTCTTTATACTATATATTTCTCTTAATTTATTTATTATTTTTTTACTATATATTCCTCTCAATTTTCGGAAAGCGAGTACGTATGTAAAATTACATATGATTCACGAACATCTAAGCGCCCGAAGTCATATCACGTTTTCTTATGAATTGCAAACACGTCATTGCCGAGGTATCTTGAAATAATTTTCATTGCTCAATTTATATTACTTGGTTTTTGAAAGATTCTGGGAATCATTACGAGATTTTGAGACATTATAATTGATAACTGTTATGTGAAATTTAAACTCAACGCAATGTCATAGGTTGGCGTATAGAAAATGTATTCTATTTCTTAGAACTCAATAGCAAATATAAATTGAGAAAAGTATATTATATTAGTATTGTACTAGAAAATGGGTCAAATTTTATAGCATTGGATGATGTCTCTATGTTTTGTTCATAGAGTTGACGCTGAGTTTTATTGCTTTATCCAACTTTATTATTTAGTTTTAAAACTATCCAACTTCCAGAAGTTTCTTTAACTCTTTCGAACAATCGTTGGGAATATCGGGTTAAGGCAACACAAACATCTCGTAATTAACTCGGCATTGTCTGCACGATGACAAATTCCACTTTTTGCTTCGCGCCCATGTGTGGTGATTAATTACACTGACAACAATACGAAAATACATATATTATTCTATAGAGGCGTAATCCTTCTTCGAGTTCTATGAATTAATAATACACACAATATGGTGCAGAAGTAATAAAACTTAATTAATAATTATAATTAACGGTTTCATCGAACCAGAGTTTTGGCGGGACGTGTTTTTTAAGTGCGAAGTGCAATTTATTATCTTGGGAGGAGATGGCAGTTTGTGGGTAATCGACAAATCGGTAGATGATTCTGCAGTTTGCATATTTTGTTTAATTGTTATTAAAATGTGATATTTTTCTACATAGACAACAAAATTTTAGAATAAACGTTAAAATTGACATACGTTATAAAATTCATTACGATTACAGCAATCAATATAATTGTTTTTATAACACAACGTGAAATCTATAGCATTCATTTAAATTAAGTTTTACAATGAGATTAATTTTACATCGTTTATTTGAATTGTATTAGTATATCCTATGTGAACTCAGTATTTAAATTTAAATTGTTATGAAATCATGCAAAAACCATAGCACTCATTTAAATTATGTTAGAGAATAACGTGAATGCCAAAATGAATTCATTTGAATTGTGTTATAAAATGACGTGTATATTATAACATTTAATTGAATTATGAAATAACGCGATTACTGTAGTATTCTTTTACCTTGAGCAATTTGAATGCAGTAGTGGTTGACTATTATCTATCTGATTATATTTTTATTAGATTTTTTACCTAATACGTGTTGATATCAGATTTTCACATAAAAATATAGAGCAAAATTTGCTGCAATTTGAGATATACGTATTATCATTTGATATCATATTTTGTTCTATAATCTCAAGTAAAAATCTAATATCAACACTGCTTAATATCAAACTGGCCGAGATGGGTATCATTTCTAGACCAAGTTTAAAACTATTTGTCATGACATGACATGTATACCATATAATTTTTTGAAATCAAGTTATAGTTACTTAAATGCAACAGCATTCTTACTTTAGTGTCAGCAAAATTCTGCAAAATTTATTCGCTTCCCTTAACCGGCTGTTAAAATAGTTAATTAATAATAAGTACTTTTTTAGTATAATTGCGAGTTGCACTACAAATTGTTTTCACTATTGATTGGACAAATTTTGTTTGATATAATATTGCAATGTATGTATTTAGTCTCTAATCAAGCATTCATTGGAATTATCATTATTGATCACTTGAATAAATAAATAAATAAATATATAAAATTAAAAAATTGTGTTAAGGAATGAGAAGAACGTTTTAGTATTTATTTCGTTATTATTGCGCTATAGTATTCTTTTTAGTAAGGTTCAATAGAGCACGATAGAATTTTCTCATTATTGACTAGAAACACTTCGTTTTCAGAAAATCTGCCAATCTTTCCACCCTTATGGATACCGTACGTTTACCGTATGAAGAGTATTACACAATTCTGAGATCCTCTTTACCATCAATATCCTCGGCAATATTCTTTGCGTATACTATTTTCATATTCAACGCATGAAGTATCGGCATTCGATATGGCGCCATACGATATATAGTATTGTTCATATCGTAACGCGGGGTAATATAAGAACAAGGACCATCACTTGCCTTGCCACAGAGGAATGGACAGGCAGCCGGAGAAAAATTTACTCAACACTGTCTTCAATGAAATAAATTCAGAACTAAAAAGTAAACACAGCGGGATTTTAGAACATATTGTTACGCTTGTAACTTTGTGGTGCAAAATATAAATGGGGCTTCAAAAATTACATTTCAACATCAACTATTCTTACGGCACTGTTTTTTTAGTTTACAATGTCAGCAGTCTTATTACTCATATTAGTTTTCTATAATTCGGAAAATACGTTTTTGTACTGTCAGATATACAAAAATAATTAAAATTTATTATGCAAAAAAGTGAACAAACAAGAAAAAAACGAATATTGATGACTTATTTGTAAAGGACGAAATAACTATATTTGCAACTTCATTGCCTGATATAATAATTCCCCGATATAGAATGTTGTTGTATATATACAGCAGAATCTCGCTAATCCAACACTCAACAGGAACATTACTGGAATGTTCGGTTTACAGAAATATAGTGAAAAAGTCATAATTGGAAATAACGTTAAAATTTTCAAAAATGGGGTGTAAAATTGTTAATGAAATATAAAAATCGCTGATATATTTTTTTAATATAACTATTCCAAAGGTATTTATGAAAACGTTTAAAAACATAGGTCCGATAAATATAGACAACCTTCAGATATTTTAAAGTGCAACGATGCATTATTATTGTATTAATACATTATGTAATTTTAAGTCTATCTGAAGCTACTGTGTGGGCTATGTAATAAAATAATATTAGTCTTTACAATTAGATCAATTGTAATTTCAAAAATATTTGCAACATAAATTTATGATTTGTAAAGATTTAACTAAAGGGTTTTATTCAACAATGGCTTTATTAAATCAACAGTTCATTTCTAAAACATGTTCTTTCTTAAGCAGTCTTATTCTTAAACAAGGTTCTACTTTATTTAGGGGCCGTTCAAGTATTACGTAAGCACTATAGGGAGGCGAGGGGGGTTGTTGATTTGCTTATTTTGAGTTGACATGGGGGGCAGGGGAGTCTGGATGATGATTACGTCGTAGTATTTTTATTTTTTTACATTAATTGCGAAATGTTTACGTAAGCATGGGGGTAGAGGTAAGAGCTCTGCTTACTTTTGCTGACAAAGGGGATGGGGGGGGGTAAATAATTGTAATATATCTG